CTCAGCCTTCCATCCTTCCGAGGTGGGTAAAATGAGGACCCGGATTGTTGGGGGCAATATGCTGACTCTCTGTAAACTGCTTAGAGAGGGCTGAAAGCCCTATGAAGCGGTATATAAGTCTACTGCTATTGCTATTGCTTTATTGCTATTGTCCATCCTACAACATATCCATGCCCGTGAGCTCCATGCAAAGCTTAAAGAACATTTGGAAAAGGTGAAACCAATCTATATGTTGACTATCGTGCTGACTGTATTAAAGGTAAGAACATTGGCCCATTTCCTAACATTCGTGCTCCTGTTCACCAATGTTAGGTATGCACCAAAGGTGGTATTCAGCCAGTTCACACCAGTTTGTGCAAACCGGTGGCCGCCATTTTCCTGAGGTCAGAGAACCGGTAGCAATGGCTGGCTGGCCACGCCCCCGAACAATCCCCCTGTTGCTGCTCACATGCCCACCCGATGCCCGCTCACTTGCCCTGCCCATCTGAGTCCTATATATGCCTTTGCCATGTGGCCCAGCCCCCAACTACGTGCCTCACCAGTCGCCTCGGCCCTCACCTGCTTTGCTCAGCTCCCCAAAGGTAAGTAAGCATGCCACCCATTCACCCTGGGTCAGAGGCTGGGGCCTCTGTCCTCTCACCCCTCACTATTCCCTGAGGCCCCGGAGCTGCTGTCCTCTCACCACCCACCTCAGCCTGGTGAACATCAGTACAATTGAGCAGGTTCAGAAGTATTTCATAAGAAAAGTCTTGCACTCTTCTGTACACAATACACAATTCCCTATGATACTAGGCTCGAAATTCACAGTTTGGGTAACTTAGAACTGCGACGCTTGCGGTCATACCTAGGTATTGCATACAAAATTATATATAATATTTTACCTTTAAATGATTTTTTTTGTTTTATTTGCAATAATACACACACTAACAACAGCTTTAAACTTAATGTAAATTGTTCTAAACTTGACTGTAAAAAATATAATTTCTGTAATAGAGTTGTCAAGGTCTGGAATGCTCTACCTGATTCAGTTGTTTCAGCTACAAAATTTCACAGTTTCAGTCACAAATTGACTCCCGTGGACCTTACATCATACTTAAGTGGTTAGTAGAGGGGGTGTGCATAAGTGCACTAATGTGCCTATCATCCCTGCCCATTGTATTTTTATTCTTTTATTCTTTTTCTAGCTTTTGTTTGACAAATTCTAATAAATAAAATAAAATAAATATCCTCTTGACTTCCTTAGAGGCAAGTTAGGATTCCAATCATTTAAGTAATTAGTACATCAAGCATAAGCATCAATTTTCTCCTGGCCTAGATGCTTTCACTTTATGCCCTTCTACCTAGGAGCTGCTCAGAAGCCAAATGTGGCCCTTGGTTTGAAAACTGCTGTGAACCCTTTGAAATAAATCATACTATGTATGCAGGATTTGGGGATACATGATATTGAAGTTTAGAGCCAGTTTGATGTAATGGTCAAGGCACTAGGCTAGAAAATTGGAGACCACGAGTTCTACTCCCATCTTAAACACAAAGCAAGTTGGGTGGCCTTGGGCCAATCACCCTTTCCCATCCCTAGGAAAGAAATAAGAACAAATCACTTCCCAAATACTGCAGGGAGTAGATTAGGCAATCCTCAAGAGTCAAAATAACTTGATAGGAGAAAACTAAAAATTCGTATTTACATTGTCTGTTTCAGAGGTGGTATTCAGCCAATTCTGACAGGTTCTGGAGAACCAGTAGTGGAAATTTTGAGTAGTTCGGTGAACCGGCAAATAGGCTGGCCCCGCCCGTGTTGCCTCCCAGCTTTCCAGCAGATCCTCTTTTGTTGCCCTGAACAGGAGAACGGAGCTGGAAAGCAGGTTACTGGGGTAGGGAGGGAATGGGGATTTTGCAGTAACCTTCTCCCAGGCGAGGGGAGGGAATGGGGATTTTGCAATATCCTTCCCCTGCCATGCCCACAAAGCCATGCCTGCAAAGCCACACCACGCCCACAAAGCCAGGCTCACAGAAACGGCAGTAATTTTTAATCCCACTACTGGTCTGTTTCCTTCAATAAGTCTACACTATACAGCTGGACATATTACAACAACACAGAGTAAACAGAAGAGAATAAAAGTAACAATATAAGATGTTCTGCATGCCATACCTGTACATTAATTGTCCTCTTTCTCTTGCATTCATCTTTCCCCATTCACCGTATTCAAAGGCATCTTTTGCTGCTGCCACGGCTCTGTCAACATCACTCACCGTAGCCAGTGACACTTTAGCAATCACCTTAGATAAAGATAAGAAGTTGCTAACTTAAAAAAAACAAAAGCCAACAGCTTTATCAGTTCAACTACAAATTTCCCATTTTCTTCATTCATTCCATTGTTCATATCCTGCCATCTTCAGTTGTTTTTACATTGATAGTATATTTTTATGGGAAAGGGAGAAAAAGGAAAAAGGAAAGGAAAAAGAAAATGAGAGGGGGGGAAAAAGACAAAACTGATAGAGTTCATTGGTCATGTTTTGACATGATGTTAAAATCACTCGTTAGAATCCTGGCTTAATCCTAAATGTAAGACATGTGGATCTGTGCTGTTGGATTATTCATTTTTGGCATCTCCATCCTATAGGAGCATTTATATGATTAGCAGTGTGTTTGTGTGAATTAGGAAATCTGCCTATTTTTCTCAGAAGAAGAAAATTCTGAGTCTGCAGATAGCACAAAATAAACCAAGGAAAATACAGGTCAGGCTTGTTTAATTGCTCAATTTCAAGGGAACCTAAGTCAAAGCATGTTCAGTTCTATGATTAAGCCAAAATTTCAGGGAAATGTAATTAAAATACCACACCTGACTGGAGCTGCTGGCTTTAATGACATGTTTTGTTCAGTTCATACTGCCAGAGTTCTCTGATTCTACAATAAATTGCTTAATTATTATTATTTTTTTACAAAAAAATCTGCTTTATATTTTCAACCAGTGGTGGGTTTCAATTTGTTTGACTACTGGTTTGCTTGTGTGCGCACACGCCCTTGCATGATGCTTCTGCGCATGCACAGAAGCATCCGGGTGAGTGGGCGGAACCTCCCGCCGCCATCACTACCGGTTCGCCCGATCTGGGGCAAACCATCCAAAACCCACCTCTGACTTTCAACACTAGGTACAATTTTCTAGACTGCCTAGTATTAGGATAACTTGAATTGATTAACCTTAATCTTTAAAATACAAACAAGTAAACTAAAGTGAGGTTAAATATTTGTTACTCCTTCCTATGTTATTATTAATCTATTTATCAATTAATCTCTTCAACAAATGGGGTTAGTAAAATAGCAGGCAATTTTTGGGATATTAACTATTATTAATTGCAATACATATAAACTTTTTCCAGACAAGACACTTTCTGATGTGCTTGGACACCAATCAGCACATGTATTTTGAAATTCTGGAAGTGTAATATCAAGAACCGGAAGATACTAGAGCCACTTCCAGATGATCCCTAAATCTTCATCATGGCCCAAGCCATCATCAGACTTTTTGCTGTTTCAAGATTACAGGAATCTATGGGGAAAGTAAATTTACTTGGTTGTCAGCCTGCAATCCTGGCAATCAGTAATCAATCAGTTTGCCCTTCATAATTGATTGATAGGTACAGAAATTCTCAGCCAAGAGGTGCCTGTTGTCAGCAAACAGTTGAGCCTTGAGCTATTTTCCCTCCCCTCCCCAGTTTTATAATGGAAAAAAAAATCCCTTCTACCAGATATTTCTTATGTTCCTGATGGTGACAGGTTGTCAATCTGATTATGCACAGCACGTCCACAGGAGGGAGATGAAATGTAACTACAACATCACTAGGTGGAGTTGTCTCTTATTGCAACATTGCAATATAAATTTTTGGCATCATCTTCCTTAGGAAAAGATGCCTAACTTACAAATTATTACGTTTTGGGTCTTTTGCCTTGGCCACAGGAAATGTCCAATGCAATGCAGGTATTTTAAAGCAACATTTGCTGCTTATATACTGCTTTTGAAAAAATAATAATAAAGAAGTGAGAAATGAACACATTGGTAAACCCACCAACAGCATGTTATAATTGCTACAAATATGAATAGTTCAGGGGGGGGGGTAGCATTACTGTATAGAGGTTTACTCACTGATCCATCTGTTGGATTTATAGAGTCATATGTGTTTCCACCTTCAGCATTTACAAATCTTCCATTGATGAAACATTGATATGGCATCTTTATAGTCATATGGTTAATATATTTTGAAACCTAGGACCCAAACAAACAATTTGGTTTAGTATCATAGATACAATGCTTTCCTACAGAAAACATGATGTATTACAAGCATATGTTCTCCAACTGATTATAGCCCAAGTAGTTGTACTGAATGCAGTTTCAGATTCCATCACAAAGCAAATAATAAATACTAATTTTCCACAATTGCATGAAAATATCCAAAAGCCAATTTGTAGTGATTAAAGCATCAAGCTATAAAATAGGAGACCACAAGTTCTAGTCCTGGCTTAGGTCTCTCAGCCCTAGGAAGCAGACAATGGCAAATCATTTCTGAAATCTTACTAAGAAAGCTACTGGGCCTTCGCCAGGGAGTAACCAAGGGTCAAACTGACTCAAAGTTACAAACATGCACATCAGAGGTGGTATTCAGCCAGTTCTGACTGGTTCTGGTGAACCGGTAGTGGAAATTTTGAGTAGTTCGGAGAACTGGCAAATGCCACCTCTGATTAGCTCCACCCCCATCCTTTTGCTGCCTCCCAAGTCCCAGCTGATTGGCTGGGTCTTCTTCTGTTGCCCTGCACAGGAGAATGGAGCTGGAAAGCAGGTTAGTGGGGTGGGGAGGGAATGGGAATTTTACAGTATCCTTGCCCTGGAGTGGGCTGGAAATGGAGATTTTTTACAGTATCCTTGCCCTTGGGTGGTGTGAGAATGGAATGGAGATTTTACAGTATCCTTCCCCCAGGAGTGGGAGGGAATGGGGATTTTGCAGTATCCTTCCCCTGCCATGCCCACCATGCCATGACATGCCGCGCCCATAGAATCAGTAGTAAAAAAATTTGAATCCCACCACTGATGCACATATGCACACACTCACACACGAATATTTGCTGGCTTAATACATTTCAACCACTGAACAAATATGTACAGTACATAACTGGAATACTATGATTTTACTTATAATGGAATTATTTAGGATTTTCAAGTATTTATTACTTGAATGCTGCCTAGAATATACCCAAACGTACATAACTATTTTAGAAACCAGCTCACATAATCTATCTCTAATTCTTCTTCCTTGTCTTCTCCTCTGTGCTTTCTGACGGCCATTTGAACAAAATCACCAAATTTGGGGGCCATGTAGATATCTTCATTCTGAAGTTCAAGTCCAGCACATTTTTGCTTGATCTCTTCAATCACCCTGAAGATATAAAGACATTGGAAAAGGAACAACTGGTCAAGTCCGGAAATGGAGAAAGAATCATAAAGCTAGAAGGGACTAATTCTGCTTCGTGCAACCATCCCTGTTAAAGAACCTTTAACAGATGATTGTCTAATATTGATCTGGTAGAAAACTTTTTTCTTAATTGCGCTTTGGAATTTATTGTTCTTCTATCCCCACCTGGTAGAAAACTTAATGGGATAGAAACAGTAGTGGCCAAAATTGTGGAGACCTTTTGGGAAAAGTGTATTTTTGAGGTTTGATGGCTAATAACACCACTTTTTTTGGAGCTTCAAGATAATCATATTCCACTGCTGAAATGGCCTGGGAATAGCCCAGACCTTAACTCAATTGAAAATCTATGGAGCCAACTAACAATAAACTTGTTAGTCAGAAACGACCCAGCAATAAAACTCAATTAATAGAAGCAATCATTCAATCTTGGTTTCACATTATAACAGCTGCAGAACTAAAAGACTTGGTTCACTCCATGGGAAGACGTTGTAAGGCCATGATTCATGCTAAAGGTTACCCAACCAAATATTAACTGATGCGATAATTTTTGTATAACTCATTTTCTCTAAGGTGATATTTTTTGTGTATCTCGTTTTTTCTATGTGTTTCACTTTTCTTCTTTATACTGTAACGATTATTGTAATAGCAAATCCTTCATAAAAGTTATTGCATTACACTCTTGATTAAATTATCTTTCCTTTTCCATTGATTTGAGTAGTACCAATTTTATGGTACTACTCCCCCCAAAAAGTGGTCTTATTAGCTAGTTTTAGAAAATACACTTTTCCCAAAAGGATTCCTAAGTTTTGGCCACTACTGGCTAATGTTTTCCCATCCCTTCCCCTTTTTCTCCACAACCTTTGTCTTTGAATTGGCACTTTGGAACATTACTGTTTTAAATAAAAACATTAACTGTTTACTCAGAATTAACAAACAATTCTGCTTGCTCTGAATGATAAAATTGCTTACTGGGAATACTACAGACCAGGCTAACAGGCAACACAAGTAGTCCTCACTTAGGACCACAATTGAGCTCAAAATTTATGTTGTTAAGTGAGAATTCGTTGAGTGAGTTTTGCCCCATTTTACAACATTTCTTGCTACAGTTATTAAGTGAATCTGGCTTCTCCATTGACTTTGCTTGTCAGAAGGTTACAAAAAGTCATCATATGACCCAGGGATGCTGCAACGGTCATAAGGATGAACCAGTTACCAAGCATCTGAATTTTGATCACACAACCATGGGGATGCAAAAGTTGTAACTGTGAAATGCAGTCCCCAGGATGACCCCAGGAACTGTCATAAATATGAGTCAGTTGCCAAGCATCTGAATTTTTAATTCGTGACCACAGAGATACTGCCACAGTCATAAGTATGAAAAATGGTCATAAATCACTTTTTTCCAGTGCTGTTGTAACTTTGAACGGACACTAAATCCGGACTACCTGTAATATGAAAAGTAAATTTTGTTCCCACAATGATACCCACAATGCTCTTCAATATCTTAGAGAACAATGAATTACCTAACCACATCCATCGATGTTGCTCCAGCTTTAAAGAAATCAGTGGTGTCTTCAATTTCAGCCACGTTGCTCAAAATTCCCTTCCAAATGGACTGCAAAAGATGGAAATATCCTGAGACAATGAAACAAATAACCCAAGCTACTTATAAGGCACATGGCCTTAAGATGAGTACCAAAGAATCTTAATCTCTATATTTTGCATTATAGTACCTATGCTCCTCACCATGAAACTGGAGGAGCATGAAGATGAAAAACAGGAAAACTGCCTTAAAGTGTTGGAAAAAAAGGTACTACATCTGTGTTCTTGCAGACCTCAAAGCATTTTTGGAGGATAAAATCTGAGATGCTGCAAATTCCTAACAAATCGATTTACTTAGAAAACAAAAAAATTTCTAGTCATTGTACAAAGATTAAAAACCTAGGAGAATGCATTATCCTAAGAAAATTCCTCAGGTGGAAAATCATTAGTTATTAATCAGGTTGTTCTCTCTTTGGAAGACAATTTCCTTAAAATATATGCCTAACTAGCTCTATGGTTCATTGTATTTTACAATATTTACTTTCTTATATTTATAATCCAGTTTGTATGGTTCTCAACTTGCATACAAATCTATACTATTCACAAGAATTCAAAGTAAATGATATTTATTTTTATTTTACAGTATTAAATTTTTATGCCACACATATTCCCTGCAAGATGATTCTGGGTGGCTTAGTAAATAATGTTATGTTTAATATTTATATTATACAATTATATGAATATAAATAATTTGACACAATATGTCAGTCCTGCCAGAGGAATGTTCACATATAGCCCCAGTCCAATGTTTGGGGAAAGAGTTCTGGTTTCAGGACTTTTTTGAAGGACAGAATTGTCACCATACAGACCTCAAGGGAAGGCAGATGTGAACACAGAGAAGGTACCCTTCCTGATTCTAAGATGATAATATTTATTAATTATTTTTTATTTTATTAATTAGACTTATATACCGCTTCATAGGGCTTTCAGCCCTCTCTAAGC